ATGTAGCCATCCTGCTTCTGTCCTAGAGAGAGTCATTACAGCTGAGTTCTGCTCAGTTCCCCTAAGGGAACGATTGTCCTACCAGAGCTCTGTTTCTTCTTATGCTCTGCTCAGCACTGGCCAAAGATGTTACTTCTGCTTCACTCTACTAAAACGTAGCAATCTGCTCTGCTACTACAGTTACTTTTTCTGCTCCACCCTTAAGGGAGTTTCCCAGCAGATGTTAAGTTTCCTGCTCAGCCTCCCTTAAGGAATGTCTCAGAAAAAGTTTTTCTTTTTTTCTGCACCTTTGAAAGATCTTCACCCAAAACTCTTTTAAGAAAGAGATGTATTTGGGAAGAAGGAGTCCAGGAGAGTCACTGCATCTGCCAGGGTGGGAAAGTACAGCCAGCAACTGAACAGGCAGAGGGGCTTATATAGGGCTTCTTAGGGATGAGTTTTCCCAGGGAGAAGATTCTCTGCCCAGGGATTGGTTGGTTTTCCTGCTCAGGGATTGGTTGGTTTAGTTGGTCAGGGGCAGCATTGGCTCTGGTTTCAGGGACAAACTGTGTTTCTTTCACTGGCCCTGTATAGCCTTTTGGCTCTATTTTCAAGGCTAAGGCATATTTCTTTCACTAGCTCACGCTGTGTTTCTTAGGTTCTGGGTTCAGGGCTAAAGTGTTTCTTTCTTTGGCTTGGGTTTCAGATCCAGGATGTGTTTCTTTCACTAACTCTGGTCTCAAAGCCAGGGTGGGTTTCTTTGGCTGGCTCTTTTTTCCCTACACCACCCACCTTTATCCTGCCCTGAGATGGAGTCTCTGAGGTTTGCCTAGGTGGCTGGGCTGAGTGACCAACAAGGCTTAGAATCTCCCCACACACACCTTTGTCTCTCCAGTGCTAGAATTGCAAGCATGACCAGCTTAAAGCAAACAAACGAGTTCTGGGGTTTGAACCCAGGACCTTGTGTATGCACTTTAGGGAAAGAGCTCTCTCTCCTGCCTAAAATAATTTTTTATGAGCTTCCCACATGTTCTCCAGCCCTGGTAAAAATGGGAGGAGTCTACATTCTGTTATGGTGTAGCTCCTCTGTCGCCTGGTTCTTCCTCTCACAAGGAATACACCTATCCAAAATCATTTAGAAATGATTTCTTTGCCTTGTTGGCATTCCCTGCATCCTCAGCTCCCCTCAAACTGAAGAGCTCGGCTGTCAGAACAGATGATCGAACGAAGCTAGACCAAAACTCCGACTGTACAAGTGAAGGAAAAAGCAGAGTGTGGCTCATTGTTACCTGTACAAGCTGTTTTGTCCCTTGTCAAAGCCTATGCATCTCAAACTCATGTGCTGCAAACAGATTGAGACCTGGACTTTCTGGGCCCTCTGCCTCAGCTGTTTCTGCCTTGCCCAGACCCCCTTCTGTGTTCTGTGATATCCAGATGACAGCAGACACAGCAGTAAAGGTGGCTCCAGGCAGCAGCTCCCAGGCCAGCTGCATATTTGATTAACAAGAAAGCTGGACAGATGCATCCTATCGCAGAGGCAGTGAGAATGTGCCCACCAAAATGCCAGCCTGTTTCATCGCTTCCCAGCCAGGAGAAAATGTTCATGTTATCCTGCTGTCTGCCTGGCCAGTGGTCCCATAATGACAGCCATGGTGACAGAACACTGACTGTGGGTCAGGTATCCTGAGTTGTAAAAGCCTTTGGTGGAGATAGTGTATGTTGCCTAAGTAAGTAGTCTGGGGCCTAGAGTAGTGGGATAACTTATCCAAGGTGACAGAGGTGAGGAGTGGAGAAGGCAGATCGGATGGGTCTATAGGCCCTCTCTACGTGTTCAGCTAATGGTTTTACTAGTGCAAATCAGGATGGTAAAATTGAACTTGGGCCAAGGCTGGCCATCAGAGGCTCTTAGGCAGCTAGGAATTACCTCCTAAGCCTCCTAAAACCATCCAAACAAAGGCTGCTAATGGTTCACAGTCATTTACTCAGCAGACAATACCTTGTGGTATTTTTTTTCTGTCATGAATTCTTTTTTACTAATTTAGAGTTTTAAACACATTGCACTAAAAAGCCTGGGGAGGTGGCTTGGTTAGCACAGTGCTTGGCACACAAGTGTGAAAATATTTAAACGCCAAGTACAGCTTTGTGTTCATAACCTCCACGTGGGGGGGGGGTAGGCAAATCTCTGGAACTGATTGGCTAGCCAGTTTATTCCAGCCAGAACCCTAGGTTTAGTGAGATAGCCTGTCTCAAAAAATAAGGTGGATGACCAGGTAGTGGTACCTTTAATCCCGGCACTTCGGAGGCAGAGGATCTCTGTGAGTTTGAAGCCAGCCTGGTCTATACAGCAAGTTCTAGAACAGTCTCCAAAGCTACAGAGAAACCCTGTCTCAGAAAAAAAAAGGTGAAGACCAACTGAGGAGGATACCACCACTGGTCTTAAGTCTCTGCGTGCACAGACATGCACTGGCATCCTCATGTGCACATGTACTCATGAGAACGTGTGCTTATATGCAAATACATGTACGCATGCCATTAGAATGTTAATTATGTTGGTGTTTGAACTTTCTGGTGCTCCCCGAAATTTGCGCTCGACAAGTATCTCACTAGACTTGCTGAACCATACAAGATAGACTCAGAGCAAGCAAACTATTGCACACATGTAGATGGGAACACAGATTTAAAGGACATGTACCCAAGCTCACACTGCGGGTGCCTGGGGCCTGATTCACAGCCCCAGAGCAGCTAGTCTTTTCTCTTCACAAAGCTTCCTTAGGGCCTTTCTCCAGAGTCACTGTGTCCTGTACCTTAAAGGACTCAGGGTAGACAGCTGTGCTTTCTGGACTGTCACACGCAGACACCCCTGGAATTCTCTTGAACTTAACCTGTGGAAGAATCTGTGAGGCGCAGAGCACACTGGCTGTGGGTTGCAGAGCATGTTGGCTGGCTGAGCTGTGGCCCGCAATAGACAGGGCAAGGGAAGGAGAGGGCAGCTCCACACAGCACTCTAAGGCCTGAGGGAGGGGCTGTTCTGCCATCCCTGAGGTTGCACTGAAGGTGCCCAGGTTGCTCCCAAGCCCTTTCTCTCCCCCGCCTTCTCCTCCCTCTCCCTCTCTCTCACACTCACACAGAGCAGCAGCAGCAGCAGCCTGTGGGAAGACACAAACACCAGCTTTTTGTCTCTTTTGTCAGGGATTTCCCAGCTATCCTCTGTAAAGTCACATAATTTGTTGGTTGGAAAGGGTGCAGACACTCTTTCTGTGAACTGATTTGGTTTTCTCCTATTTGGGGTCTCAGCTGGGTGTTTAATGTTTCCTAGGAAACCATGGGTCTTGGAGAAACTGGAAAGAGGCCTAGATTCTGCTGCAACCCTTACTGGGCATTCCATGTCTTGGCTCTGGCTAAGGGTCAGAGGGGTCCAGGGCTCTCTTCAGGGCACAATTTTATTCAAGGCAGGAGCTTGGGGTGTATTAAAAAGACAGCAGATGGCTGCTAGACCACTGGCATCTCGGGATTGCTTCAAAGACGCAAACATAGGACCTGGTAACCACCTTTGTCAAAAGTATAAGCCATTCTCCTAGAGTGATGGAGGACAAGTCATCCCCAACACATGGCATTTTTTTCATCTGATGGTCTAGGGTCACTTTCAGGAATCTTGGTCACCCTATGCAAGGGTAATGACACTTCAGCTCCCAATATTGGCATTCGAAGGCTTTAGAGGTCCAGGAGTTGGTGGGCTTCTGTCTCCACCTTGAATACAGGCTCTAGCTAGGAGGTCTTTCATGGACATCTAGTAAAGCTTCCCTTTGCTTATTGACTTTGAAATGCAAAATTTGAAGGATGTGTTGGTTCTGTCACTATGAATGGTCGGTCTTCCCATGAGGACCACCCTGAATGTTTAAGGAAGCAGTAGAAATAACATAGATGTGAGATGTATTTTGGCTGTGTCTAGTCATCTACTGACATATAACAAGTTACCCCAGAATGTATTTGTTATCTCACAGTGTTAGTCAGGAATCCGGACAGAGTTGAGCCAGAACCTCTGTCTCAGGTATCTCAATGGCTGAAATCGAGGCGGCAGCTTCATCTGAAGACTTAATTGGAAATGTTCTAAAATCATGTGACATTTAGTAAGGTACCATTTCCAGCTGTTGTCTACAGGATGCCCACAGCTCCTTGCTAGATGGCCCTGTCCTTCAGACACATAATACCAGCCAGTCAGAGCTCATGGTCCTTTAACTTAATTATAAAGAAATACCCCAGCACACTTTGCATATTTCACTGATTAGGAGTGAGTCATGAGTCCATCCTACATCCAAGGAGAAGGACATGCACAAGTGTGTGAATATTAGGAGCTGGGAATCACTGGGGGTCATGTCAGTATCTACCTCCTGTAGCCTGTTTGAACTGAGTAGACCACACCTAAAAAACATATGTGTTGGGGAAGTCCTGTGCATTTGTCAATAAAGCACTGTTGGCCAATAGCGAACCAAGATAGGTGGGACTAGGAGTCCAGAAGGACTTTGGGAAAGAGAAACTCAGAAAGTCAAGATGTAACGCCATGGGGTAGGAAGCCTGGAAACCTCTCTGGTAAGAGAAATACTTAGATTAACAATTATGGGGTAAATACTTAAGTCAGAGCTAGCCAGTAAGAAACAAGCAAGGCAACAGCTTCCTAATTAATATAGCCTCCTGTGTGTTCATTTGGGACTGATGCGGCTCTGGAACCAGGCTGGCGGGAAGGCTTCCCTTTACACATGTGTCCATCTTTTGAGGATCCTCAAACACTTGCAGGGAATTCTTTATCCTTGGGTGGCCTTGATTCGTGACATCGGCCATAATGGGTTGGACTATAGTGGAATGACTAAACAAAAAGGAAGCTAATGGAGGCTTAGCCCAATAGGGTCCCATTCCTTGGAATGCTTTAGTGGTGATCTCAGAGAAAGACATGGAGCGTTTGTTTATTTAAAGAATGTCCAAGGCATTGGGTAGATGACATCCACACAGCACGTTTGCTCCCTGTCTTTACGGGGTAGAATAGGAAGGACTGTTGCTTTGCATAGAGCAATGGCAGTATGCAATGCTCTAGGAAGGCCAACAGTCACCACAAGAAAGCAGAAATTTTAAGGAAGTGAGAAGAGGGAGAATGCGGCTGGTATTACACTGTGGAGGGAGTAGAGGCAGGAGCATAGCTGAGGGCATAAGGAGAGGTGGGCACTTGTTCCAGTTAGCAACCCAGCTTAACAGTCCATTAGAGACATGCTATTGTCGAGATGAGGATTCAGATGGATCTGAATGGAGTCTTGTGACCACTATAGTGACCAATAGTGAAGCCAGGAGATAGATCATCGACCAGATGACTGCCTGTGTCCCCTGCTAGACAAGAGGAGGGGGTTCATGGAGCCAGAATCAGCTTCATTCAGATCAGTGAAAAACAGATTTTGATTCCCAGTGATGTCACAGGACATTTATCCTCCTAAAGATTCTTCTGCTTGTTTTATGTGTAGGTAATGTGTCTCTTCTCATCTCTTCTCTTTTCCTTTTTTTTTTTTTTTTGCAGTAGTAAGGATTGCACCTAGGACCTCATGCATGCTGGACAAACAGTCTACTACTGAGCTATAGCCCTAGCCCTAAGTAACCCCTGAGCAAACTGAGCACCTTCTGCTCCCTGGGTCAGTTGTCTGACGGTAAATGCGATGCTTACATCCATTTCTATTTTATTTAATTCTGCATAAGACTACATATTGAAAGGTTCTTAAATTGACAATATTTCCTTAAAACTTATTTTTTCTGTTCTCCTTTTCAGGTCAGAGCACAGTGAACAAAAGAGACTGAGTTGACTTTGACTCTGAGGGTTCATAGCATCATACTGCTCAGATGGTTTTTGGAGTCCCTGCTGATTCATTTTTCACTTGGTTTGTAATTCCAAGTCTCTGTCCAAGCTCTCTGAGCAGTGGTTACACCCGCCTTTGAGAGTCTCTCTGTCAGCAACATCATGTGGTTACCTGGAAATTGGTCCTGGTGGGAGTATTTACACCACAGAACTTGGCATATACCAAATCTCACAGCTCCCAAAATGGTGTGGAATGGGGGACTTCTGGTTAAACATTTACCTGCCTCTAAAGAGAAACCCCCAGCAACTGCCTTATTAAACATTATTTTCCTGTCCCTTAAAAGTTGTGGCATCTCTGGGTCATTTAGTTTCTCTGCTTGCCTCTCCCACACACTACTTTTAACATTTTTCCTCCTCAACAATTCACTAACGATTCTGTGAACATAAATCCCAAAGCTCGGGACATCGATGAAAGAAGAGATGACCTCGGAATGCTGTAGCTGAAGTTTACAAAAATCCTGTTACTATCCCTCGGTTTAGCTCTGGTTAAGATTCATCTTCTGTTGATATGCCTCTGCTCTGGTATTTTTCAGCATGGTACATTTTACAATGTGATCATTCTTTTCCCATGACAAATTCACTTACAAGGTCATGAGAAAAAGCAGAAGGAACATGGGTGAGCAAGTGGATGGTGACAATAGAGTCATACACAGGGAACAGATGTCCGGAAGTTTGATCAGAGGAGCTGACTCTTTCTTGTAGTTAGTATTTTGTGTTTAGCCCCTGGTATATTAATCGGAGAAGCTCAAGATTGAACATATTTCCCCTACAATTTTCCTGATCTATTTTTAAAAATGCTAATTTCTTACCATTGTGTGTCAAGATCTTCACTAAGTGATCTGTGATCCAAGGGTTATGCATTCCCCTGAAATCCTGAAGTTGGAATCCTAACCACAGGTACCCCAAAGGGTGACTCTGTTTCAAGACAGGTTCAAAACAAAGAGGAATGAAGTTATGGGCAGGCCATTACTATGGGTCCATCTCCACATGGCCTACTGCCTTGAAAAATCAGAAGATCTGGGTGCTCATAGACACAATAGGGAGAGAGTGTGAAGACACAGGCCACGGTTGGCTGTCTGTAGGCTAAGGGGGGAGAAATCAATCAACTGACAACCTGATTGCAGACTCCTTAGAACCCCGAGGAAATGAGGAGCCACACGGTACTTAAGTCACTTAGTCTTCTAAGTGTGGCAATCCTAGTAAACTAAGACAATTTCGTTTGGCTACTTTTATCACAAATTGATATATATTGAATATACATTTGCATAAGAAGGAGACTTGCCTAGGCCTATGGCTTGTAGTTAGATGCTTAGTTGCTGGCCTGCCATTAGGAGGCTAGGGAACATATAAGAAGAGGATCCTGAGTCTGGCAAGATTGCTCAGTGGGTCTCATCATTTGCTACCAAGCCTGGCAACCCGAGTTTGATTCTTCAGATATATATGGTGGAAGACAAGAAGAGGCCCCTGCAGCTTGTCCTCTGGCTTCCACATATGTCTCAAGGCACATGCAATCTCTCCCCACCATAAATTCAACAAAGAGAGGTGGGACCCAGCCGAGGTTAGGTCACAGGGATGTATGCCTTGAAGGGGCTATCAGACACTAGTCTCTTGCCTTTTCTCTTGGCTTCCAGGCTAAATGAAGTAAGCAGGCTTCTTCTGCCATGTACTCCCTCCATCATGTACTGCATGGCTCAGATCCAGAATGGCATGGCCAGTCTACCGCTGGCTGAGACCCAGAAGACTGTGGGTCAAAAGCAAACATTGCCTCCTTGCAATGTCATCGTCCCAGGTGTTCTGTCACAGTGATGGGCATCTTATAAAGGTAACCAGAAAGACTGAGGTCTTGACATACCAAACCTATGACAAAGTGACCTCCATAACAGGTCAAGAGTGGGTGTTCCTGTGGGTGTTTCAGAACCCTTAGTCAAGCAGAGACCTGGAAGGGGCCATAGGTTCAACGACTCAATAAATGTCAGCTCTGGGATTGACTAAATACTAAAGACAGGAAATGGCCTCATAGGAATTTTAAGGGGACCCAAGACAAAAGCCTCTCTGTTATTTTTGCTGGAAGTGGTTGCTAGTCACTTTCAGTCCTCAGGCTGGCTTGGGTTGCTCTGGTCTGTGCTTCAGTCTCCCTGTGGAATACTCTCTGTTAATTCAACCAATGCCAGACAATTGAGATCAAAACAAAATGCACACAATGAGACTTTGTAGTGATAGCTTAGCCAAAACAAAGCTAAATGAGCAGGAGGGAAAAAAGGAAGCAAATCAATGGCAAAAATATCCACCAGATGATGCATCTAGAAAAAATTCTAATTATACAAACACCACATCTGCAAGAACAAAGAAAAAGTAGCTGCAAGTCCGAGGGGAACAAAATGAATCCAAAAACATTTTAATGAGATATGTCAGCAACATCCAGTGGGATTGGGACAAAGGCCCTGATGGGGACATCTGTTGGTTGGGAGTCTCATGGACTGTTGGCAGCTGAGAATCTTCAAAACAATCTCAAAGGCACTGTCAGATGTATCAAAGATGAAGACCACTCAAAATCTCAGTGTCTTCTTAAGACAGTTGAAGCAAAGAGCCATGCTAGCTAGGCAGATTTCTCTGAGCAAAGTAAATTGCTAATCTCTTAAAGCACAGTTGGGAAAGAGTGTTGGATCAGGGTGGCTTTTAGAGGCAGGACTGGGTTGATGTTGCCTCACAAGTATCTTCACAAATGCAAGCTCCCCCAGGGATGGGTTGATTTCCACACACAGAGCTGTCTCTGATGAGTTGGCTTTCAGAAGTGTGTTCATTGAAGCATGATGCTATTCACCACCCATTCATCACATTTAAAACAGCTCTTGGTGTGTTTGATTCAAGATTATAGAACCGTCATTGATGAACTAGACAGGTTTAAAACCAGTTCTGTGGAAGCTTACCATCACGATTATAGAAGAAAGCAGCTTTCCTAGGAGTGTGAAACATCATGGAACTTATCTTTATATTTTACCTATTTGTTCTGTTAATTTCCTGTCCCTCCACTCCATGAAAGCAGGAATTTTAAATTTGCTTTAATCCCCCATGGGTTTCCAGCATCTAGGACACTGTCTAGCACAGTAGGAGCTCAATAAAAATTCATTAAATGAACGAATGTGCTTGGTCCTAAGACCCTCAACACAGAAATTACAGGAAAGATGTGGATTTTCTTTCATTCATTCACTCATTCATTCATTCAGTTTTTGTTTGTTTGAGGTATGATTTCTCTGTATAGCCCTGGATGGCTTGGAACTCATTCTGTAGACCAGCCTGGCCTCAAACTCAGAGATCTGCCTGCCTCTTCTTCCTGAGTGCTAGAATTAAAGGCATGTACCACCACTGCCTGTCACTTTTTCTTATTTTTATTAAAAAAATAGAAAGTAAACACCCCACCTCATCATGGGGACTGGGTTGGATATAATCATGATAAATGCTCTTAAACTAAGGGTGATTAATGAGCTGTGGGACAAGGCTAAGTGTGTGCTGTGCCAACCGTCCCCTGGACTGCATCCCACGCAACTGATGCTGCACACACAATGCACTTTGGATACCAATACTTGGGTAGTTATTCTTGGAGAGTTGCTTCTCTGGCCTGGGTAGACCTAGGAAACATCCTGCTTTCTCTCTTTGGAAAGTGAATTCCAGAAAGCACTTGAGCACAGTGACCAAAAACTCAGGCTCTCAAAAGTGCTGACTCTTGGAGATGGGCCATTTCATGTTTTTTCTTCCCGTCTCCATATAACAACAGTGGAATGCACTGTGTGATTTAAAAAAAAACTTGTTTTACTCCTATATTCTATTCTCTGGGAGTTTTAAATGTGTGTACAATGTACTTTGATAATGCCCATCTCCGAATCCTTTCCTGTTTCTCCCCTACCCTCTGTGTAACCCCCTCCCAACTTCATATATCGTCTTCTTAATTTTTTCCTATATAACCCATGAATAGTTCAGTTAGAACTGCTTCTTTGAGCATGGACATAGGGTCATCCAGTGGTACAGGGGCAATCTGAGAGAGGCCACACTCCTAAGAAAACTGATGGTCTCCCCTCAGCCATCAACTGCCAATGCTCTCAGCTAAGGGTGGGGCCTCATGAGCCCCCACCACGTGATTTTTTATGGGCATTACCACTACCAGGAAGCATTTTCATTCATGCTATGGACCTTTAATGAGCTCTCTGAGTCCTACCTGCTGTTGCATAGTTTATTACTCTAGGCACAGTCCAACTCTCACATTATAACCACTATGACCTTTGCCATCATGCAAAAGGGGTGACCTTGGCCCTTATAGTCCTAACCCTGAAATAAACAAAGCAATGCAGTGACAGTAGGTCTACCATAATGGTAATGGAGCTTTTACTCATTCCACAGCAGAAGGTAGGGGTCATGAGAACTGCACCTGGGATTGCAAACAGCGCTCCTCTTGCGTCTCAGCGTCCATGAGATCATCACCCATTATGGGGTGGGAATTTTGGTGATACAGCTGTTTTAGAGTCACCCACTCACCCCTCACCCATTCTGCAGGGAGTAAGTGCAACAAACGCATTAGTTTATCAAGTTGGGCTTGGGTGGGGTCATTAGGTTAGTGGGTCACTGGTGACATTAGGGTGCACAGATGCATCTCCCTAGGAAAAAGTATGCAACATGACCAATAGTTTACTGGACCCCTGGATTCACTGAGGTTGTGTAAGATGGCCATAGACATTTCCCCCCAGTGCTAGGTATTGAAGCTAGGGTTTTACTCATGCTGTGCAATCATTCTACACATTTTAGTCTCCTTCATACTTTTCATTTTGATATAAGGTCTCCATGAGTAGCCTGGGTTGGCCTTGAACTTACCTTTTATCTAGGGAAGGTCTTAAACTTGCAATCTTCTTGCCTTAGCCTGGAAGGCAGCTAGGATTCTAGGCCTTGCAGATATACACTTGTCTAAAGAGCTGACTTTATCACAGGAGTCAAAAGAGAGGCTGAGGTAGCAGAGGCCTCTGAGCATGATCAACAGAACAACTGTAGCCTACATGCACATTCCAGTGGTGGAAACAAGTGGGCCAAAGGAAGGGAACATGGGCTTGGTTAACTCACTGCCAAACCTCCTTCCCCTCACCCAATGTCACCACAGAGTTCATGATGCCAGCCTAACATCAAAGCTGAAGCAAAGCCAGCAGCCACATAGAGACAAAATAAAAAGGACAAAGCGGGTTTGTCGAAACCATATTGTAGTAGCTTTGCAGCCCAATGCATTCTTAAACGATGCAAGGGCAA